GCCAATAATAATTCTTCCCTCCTCTTTTCTTAATCTTTGTTCTATTTGTTGTTGGGCTCTAACGTATGAGCTTAATATTTTAAAGGGTTGCTGGATTTCAATTTACTTATAATGTTTATCCTTTGGACTTATAAAAAAAGGTAGCCAATAAAAAAAAAAACCTTCTCGACAGAGGAACGAGAGGAAGTTGTCTTTTCCGATTTGAGATGAAACATAAACTCCTATTTGTAGATATTTCAAAATCAGATCGAAGACGATTTGTGAAGATTCAGGATCAGATGGAAGACGATAGGTGAACTCGAGTCGGGCTGAAGGATCAGGCCAGTCTGTTCCCACCGGAAACCATAGCCACTGGAACCGGAAAGTAACTGCCATGTCGACATATCTTCAGCTCTCAGGTTTTGAATCTTTCGATTCGTTATTATTAGGAATGTGGCCTAACTTAACCCAAAAGCTAGCTCAAGAGTTAAGGATTTCCACATCCTATATATATTGCCCAAAGATCTTAATCCCAAGCAATGTGGGATATTCTAATAGGCCTCCTCGAGATGTGGGTGGGAAACGGTCCAACGGGAAACAGCCCAAGCCCAACATCTCGGAAATACAACAAGACATGCCACTTATAGGCCACATAGGTGGGAAACCATTTTTGTGGGAATTTGCTTGTTGGGTCAACCTTGGGCTCTGATACCATATTAGGAATGTGGTCTAACTTAACCCAAAAGCTAGCTCAAGAGTTAAGGATTGCCACATCCTATATATATTTCCCAAAGATCTTAATCCCAAGCAATGTGGGACATTCTAATAGTTATCTGGTTCACCTAGAGATTCAAACTTCGTGTTTAAGAATTTACTCTCTTATTCGGTATCTACTTATCATTTGATTCGTTATGAAGTGCGAAATATTTTTTTCTTGCTAATTATCAATCAGGTTTATTTCAAATCTCCTCTATCAATCACGATATAATAGGTAAATGCATCTTCTCAACTTGATTTATCTTATAGTTTATTTGGCGGCTTATCATTTAGTTTGTTGTATTGATGTGTGTGATGCTCTGTCATTGGAATTATGTGTTTTGTATTGATTCGTGTATTGATCAATGTTTTGTATTCAGAGATTTGTCCATAAATATCGATTGTCTGATGATTCTTATAATTGTAAATATACAGACATACAGTTTTGTTGATTTAGTAAATTGGGATTCTTAGATTCTTAAGTCATAGTCCAAGAAATCAGAATTGAGTGATTAGTGTATGTTATATGCATGCATCTGTTGTATTAGGTTATTTCGTCTTCGGAATTCAAGTTGCATGTTTGGTTTTGGTCTTGGAGACCAGTTTACAAGGCTAAGGAAATCGAAATTGGTGAAATCACAATAGTCTTGGAGAGGGTCCGTGTCAGAATAAACGATCCATCGGAAGTGTGTACGTTAATAGCAGTTTAGAAGCATAGAGAGAGAAGTAAAGCTGAGTGAGAGTTTGCATATAATTTAATATTTGAGGGGGGGAAGGGGCCAATACCATAATGGTGATAATGTGGATTTTCAGGTAAGAAGTGTTAAGTGTAGTGTTTTCTTGACATCTGCAACGCAATGATTATTCGCCTCGAGTCCTCTTCTTGAAAAGGCTAGATTCTTTTTG